CTTCCTACTTTTCACAAATCAGATTTCCTACAGTAAGTGACTAGCAGGATAATTCCTAGGCAGTGGCAAAAACTAGTATTTAAAAATAAAGACACCCCCTCCATAAATGCCCATCGCAGCTTCTGTCTAAATTCTGTCTCTGGCCTTAGAAAAAGTTCCCCTGCTCCTCATTTAAAGCAGTCCTCTTGAAACTGCCATGTTCTCCTGTGTAGTGTGAATGAGGTTTGTGAAGTAGACCTCATATTCAGGCCTTTTATCTGGCTTTAGGACCTTACACAGGCTACACATTTAGTCCTCCTAGACTAGATAGGCATGGGACTCAAAAAACGACTCGCCTCTTCTCCACTCTAGAGGACTTTGCTGGTCCCACTGAGCTGGCCTGGGGCCAAGGTGAAACCTGAGCCCAACATGTAAATGGCCCATTTAAACTCTAGCCATGCTTCTATCCTATTGACCTCTCTTCCTTGGAGGCAGTCATCCTGGGGCTATGTCATTTCCTTACCTACAGCCCCAGGGAAGCAGAACAGGCTTGTAACACTTACTGACCATGCTCTGGCAGGGAGAGGTCACACAGTCCCTGCACCTATCAGACTGGCAGGGGCCTCTCAAACAATGACCCCGAATGTACTATGCGAAGGTCCACGCAGAAGAAACGAGGGTCTGAAGCAGGACTCCCAGAAGGGATAAAGTAAGAGCATGCTGGTGAGGTCCCCACTAGATCCAGAGCTCTGAGACAACTCTTGCTTACTGGGAAGGCAAGGGGGAAATCAAGGCAAGGTACAGGCCATGCTGGTAAGGAGTGGTTAAGTCCAGTAGGCCCAGCAGAGGGGGTGACTGACCACTGTCACTCAGGCTCCAAGGCAAGGGGACGCTGTCACAGAGAAAAGGCCAACCAGGTGTCTGTCACACACCTGTCTTTCTCTCTCTTCCAAATGGGAGCTTCCTCTTAAAGCCAAACACCCCTCTGGCATGCATTCTAAAGAACTCAGAACAATTTGATCCCCAGACCCTGAAAAAGAAGCACCTTATCTTCTGCACAGAAGTTTGGCCTCAATACAAACTGCCAAGCAGAAAAAAATGGCCCCAAAATGAGACCCATAATTACATCATCATCTTGCAATTAAATACTAGTAACTAAAAAAAAAAGATAAGGGAGAGGGAGAGATTAAAGAATAGAAGGACAAGAGGAAAATGCTGGAATTTTGGATTTTTAATATGAAATAGTCTTAGATGTATGGTCCTGAAGACAGTCAGTCATGGCAGTAAATTAATCTGTGCTTGACCTATGATGCTCATGACTGCTTTAGTCCTACCACGATCATGTAGGAATTGAGTAAAAAATGACTGAGTAGGTGCCACAATCCTTAATGAATGTGAGGGAACGACTAGGAAGCTGATAAATGACAGCAAAGAGGAGAGGTGGAAGGTACTAAGGGTAGGATGGAATGGCTTAGCAACAGTAATATGAACATGAAGCATATCCATGTCACCTGTGGTATGTGGGGCATCGCTTTCACTGTGGTGAGCTGCTAGGAAAGCAGTGCCCTTAAGGGAGAGCCAGGTTCCAAATATCACAAGAAGGAATGTTTAGTGACAAGATGAGGGTACAGAAAAGCTTATTTACATCAATATGGGGAGTCCAGAGAAAGACTGAAGTCTCCAGAAGGCTGATTTAAATTAAAAAATCAACAACAGATAAAGAGAAGTGTGGGGATGAGGCTAGGAGAAATCATCTGAGTGTTACCAAGTATGATAGAAACTAGAAGTAGAGTGGGATTTACTGATTTCTGGATCTTAAACAAAACTCTCATTAAAAAACTACTGTTTCAGTGCCAAGTCACCGGAGATATTGGGACTTCATTGGGACTTTTCAGTGGCAAGCTGTCAGAGACACTATATTAGTTTTGATGACTAAACTATTAAAAAATAAAAACAACTCTAAGAAACTTAGGCAATTCATGAATCTTACTAATGATGTTTATACTCTTGTCATTAATATGTATACTCAGAAAATAATATTAAAGCTTAAAAATTCATGAACGAATAACACAGGGTAACTAAATTTCAAAGGAGAGCTAAAGGGTATCCATTGAAGCCTGAAAGATATAGTGTGGTACATAAGGCAGTATTTTAATCTCTAGATAGTATGAAAATAGACTAGAACAGTAGAGAGTGAGGCCCAGGTTTAAATTCACCAATGTTTGGCAAGAATCATGTATGATAATACTCTGTTCCCCATTTCAGGATTCAGGCACTTTGTCCCTCCTCCATCTACATAGCTACAGCTGCCCTTCTCATAGCAGACCCTCTGGCTTTGTGACAAAAAAACTCTGAAAAATGGGCAAATGGGTGGAGAAGGAGGAGAACATAGCAGTAGGGATTGAGGATCCCAACTATTTTAGATACGAATATAGTGGAATAAGGGGTAAAAATCCTCAGTGTTATTACTTCAGCACAACATATATAACACCCACTAGGACTCATATGTAGCAACAAACAATTTTACTCAAAAAAGAGACTGTATCTGAGGTGTAACTACCAGGAATTGCTCTTATAACAGAAGAATGTTTCTAAAAAAAAAAGCATGAGGCAGAGAGCTTAATAAAAGTCTTCCAATTGGAGCAAATAAACTGAGAACATCTCTGAAATACATTCCTAAAAACTTTAGAAATCCATGGGCAAATGAATTTTCACTTCAAAAAATAAAAGCAGAACATCTGACTCCAAGTTCAGATGACTATAATAATTCAAATCTGATGCACTCAATATGAGTTTGTTAAGCAGCAGGATTTAGCAAAGGTCATTTCTTACCCTCTCTTTTCTACTACATCCCTACTGCTACCTTCTCAAAAAAACTGATGTAAAAATAATCTGTAACTTAAAAGGGCAACTGTACATTTTTAAATTCTTTTCTAAATATATCCCAGAGTATCTTTTGTCTGTGGCCATATATATTTCTTTTCTTTCTTTAAAAAAAAAAGTTGGAAAGAGAAATCATTGGGAGGTAAAAGTACCTCTATACATCCAGATAAGAAAATTGCTGCTTTAGAGTTACTGCATCTAATTTGTTCAGTGGTTTTAGTTAACAGAATACTGCCACATTTCATCATAATCCCAGGTGGGAGGCAGGATAGGGAAAACACTATGATCATTCAGGCTGTTGAGATGAAATAACCGTAGCTCACTGAGTTAAGGGACTCTAAGGATATCTGAGATGGATTCATCTTCTGAGGCTCACATATGGAAGGCAACCATGCTTTTTGAAAAAACAGTCTTTTACAGCATTGCTGGCTGGACTCAATACAACATTTTATTCTGGAAACAAGTAATGTCACAAATTAAGGTCCTTGTCCCCATATACCCTTTACAGCCAGAGTTGCATTTTCAAATGCCAGGCAGGTTGACATACCTAATAAAACACGTCCCAAGTAAATAAATGATAAAATGATTAAAAGGCAAGCGATATTAAGCCTCTGCTGCAGAGGCTAGAGTGGAATGGTAAACTGGAAGACTAGAGAAACTTTCTTTTCATAGAGAAGACAGCTGCAAATCACAACTGACTATTTTGCCTTCTATGACTGCCATCTACAAATCTGGTTTTTCTAGATGCTATTTTTCAAGAAGTCTAGATTTTTATGATTTTTATGTATAACACTTTGGCAAGTGAGATTTGGGCTTTGGACCACTAGTTTGAGATATATGCTGGACTGATAACTATTTCCCTCTACCTCTACCCAAAACACAAAATGCTCTTTAAACTTGGAAATATTTAGGGTTGATTTTTTTTTTTTTTTTT